AGTTCTAAGGGTTTTTGTTACCTGGCTTCAGAAGTTTCAACTTGTCATTTCTATACCCTATTAATTGAACAAGTTGCTAAAATTAGCTCATATGCAAGGGGAAGGGATTCAGACTTCATCTTTTGAAATGAGGAGCAGTATGTATCTATAAGGAGGGATAGAGTTCATGGCAGCCATCCTGGAAACAATCAACCACATCCTTACACCATACCATGTCTCTTTCATGGAGTTGGCTTGAAGTTTAGGCTCTCATAAAAATCAGGTTCATGTGGAAAATGTTCAAAATTCCTTTTTTGCTCTGAAGAACTGTGAATTAAAGGGACATTATTTGTTTATCCCTACCTGTCCCATCCTTGAGATCAGCCCTAGGTTTAATGATCCACTAGGAGGATCATTAGCATGAAGTCATAGTCACAGCTGAAATTTACTACAATAGAAGATTATGGAACAAAATCATGAAAAGAAAATATGACATGGGAGTGATGTCCAGAGAAGTTCAAGTGCATGGTTCCAGAGTGCTTTGTCAGTGTAGCCACACAAGAAGACTTAATTCCCCTGCAAATAAGTTGTGAAATACACATGTGAAATGTTCCCAACAAGAGAAACTCACTAGAGACTGAATACCTGGGTTTTTTGTAGAGGGTTAGGCAGGCAGCCTCTGCCTAGCATGTATTCAAATTACAAATTACTAGAAGGAAGAGCATGTTCCACACAAATCATATTGCTTGTATAAACAGTATAGGCACAGGGAGTCACCATTATTAGTTAATGATAGGAATCTTGCTGAAATATAGGTTCCAGATACCAAACATCAATATTTCTAAGCATACACAGTTGGGTCTCCTAGGTTAACTTTTTTGCACACTGGTCAGCATACAATGGTAACATGGGGACAGAGTAGTTAATATAAACACTCAACAAAAAAGGGGTGGGTAGGGGGAGAGGAATGAGAAGTAGGTAGTAGTCACTGGCAGGTACCATTTCTGAAATACATCCAGGAACATGTTTCTAGTTCTTTGACTAAGGCTTAGTCGTGCTCCACAAAAGTGTTTCTCTGGATTCTTGGCTGTTCCCTCTGGGTTCCTGGCTGTGCAGTTACTCACTCTTCCTTTTCCACTAAGAAATACCCTGTGTTTGCAAGTTGGTTTCTCTCTTAACCTGTTTCCTGTTTATATAAAGTTGGGTGCCTGAAGGCCTATTTTCATTTTGAACTATTTTTTTTTCTTCTCAATGCAAGTTGGTGTTGCTTCTACCAGTACAAATCTTTTAACAACATTGCATGTTTTCTAATAACCTTATTGAGGTTCACTCTATTAGACAAAGGCCACATTCTTTTTAAAACAATTTTTTAAAAAAGATTTATCTAAGCATACAAGAACTGGAGTACAGGCTAGAGGTGTAGGGGGTGAGAAGATTCACCAGAAACAGAGTGGGGAGCAGAACAGGCAGATGACTGATATATACTCCAGAGGGGAGCAGTGGGTGAGACTGGAGAGGTCTGTCACACCATGTGGGTCAGCTTTCCCGCCAGGATCCAACTGTGCTGCAGTGGTTGCAAATAGCTTCATAGTGCGGAGATTAACCTCTTACACCACCAGAGAGGAAAGGCCACATTCAAAAGTGTCTAAAAGGTAATCCCCTTTCTTCTTTGGGCTAAGAATCAAGAGACTGGAGATAGTGTTCTTAAAAGTCTTAGGGACTTTAAGCATAATTTGGAATGTCTATCTTACATCTGTTCTTTGCACTGAAAAAAAAAATTCTGAGATGACATTTACCCAGAAGCTATACTTTACTTGAAATATGCTATTAGGTCTTTCCTGCTTTGTGAGTCTTTTATTGGGAGAGTTTGGGGATTATAAATAATTTATTTTTGAAACCAGAAAATGTTGGCTACTTTATAGTTTCTCTAAATTTGTCTTGGAATTTGAAAACTCCTTTAAATTCCTTCTCTGTATTTTGTTTCAGACTAATAGAAGAAATCAGTTGTCAATTTTAACATTCTAATTGGAAATCTCAGCCACATTATAAGATTATTAAGTACCTGTTATAGTTTTCATTAGATACTCTATTTTTCACACTATCTCATGTCACAGTGTTGCTGAACTTTTTGCTACCTACAACTTTTGTCCCAAATTTATTAATTTGCTAGAGGTGCTATATAAGTTACCATAAATTGGGTGGCTTAAACAACACAAATATATTATCTTATAGTTCCAGAGGCTAGAAATCCAAGATCAAGATGATGGCAAGTTTGACTCCTTCTAAGGGTCATGAGTAAGAATCTGTTCTCCAATATTCTGTTGGTATGCTAGCAGTCTTTGGTGTTTCTTGGCTTGGAGACTCATTACCCTGATCTCTGCCTTCATATTCACCTGTCATTTCCTGTACAGGACTGCTTATGTTCATGTTTCCCCTCCCCCCACTTTTTTTAAAAAAAGATTTATTTATGCATACAGAACTGGGGTACAGGCTAGAGATGCAGGGGGGTGAGAAGATTCACCAGAGACATGTTCTCCTTTTTAATAAGGAAACCAGTCATATTGGATTTGGGTTCACCCTCATGACTTAATTTTAACCCAATTACCTCTGTAAAGACATGAATCTAAATAAGATCATTACTCTGAGGTACTGCGAATTAGGACTCAACATATGAATTTTTGAGACAAAATTCAATTCATAACACTACGTTTGTTAGTAATTCTCTCATTGTGGGCCCTCCCTGTGGTGCAACCAGGTAAAGCACAGCAGTATGAAGCTATCCACAGTCACTGCAGCACAAGTTTGATCCATATGGAGTGGCAGACCTCTCCTGACCCCCCCCCAAGCTGTTCCCCTCAGCAGTGTATTTTGGTTGATCTGCTTTTTCTGCTCCTGACTCTGTCTCTGGTGAATCTTCTCACCCCTCACACCTCTGGCCTTGTCCCCCAGTTCTTGTATGCATAAATAATTAAATCTTTAAAATAATTTCCTTATTGTCCTTTAAGCCTTCACTTAAGACTCTTTATTTCTGCTATCTCTTTCCAAAGCCAGTAGCACATCTTTTGTTTGTCTGTCTTATTTTTTGTTAGTTGTATCTAATTTTACCATTGGCAGTAACAGGGAAGGAATAGGGAAGCAGCACCAGTAAGCAATACAAGAATTATTATAGGTATTAGATACTCCACAATTATAGGCAAGAGAAGGTCTGGAAGGAGATGGCCGGAGGATCAGTGAAAAGTCACTAAGCAGTACCACAAAGAAAAGTCAGTGAAATGTATGGAAGCCTGGCGCCTCTGTATCCAGTAATGGGCCTGAAATTGACAGGTCATGTGTCTAGCAGTCAGGGAGAAAAATTGCATTGATTGGGGGAAAGGACACATTAGGATCAAAAGCACATGTTCCATGAAATTATTCTGCTTTAAAAATTGAATTTTAAATGGGGTTTGTGGGAGAAGTAAAGATTTGGAAGCTTAGAATGTTTTAGTTATGTGATTAAAAAAACAACAACCACCTTGAAGTATCTGTTTGGTGCTTCTAGATTTGAGAGAGGAGGAGTGTCATCTAGTGGTTAAGCTGAACCTTGAGAGTTAGGAAGGTTTCTTTTTGCCACTACCCAGAGTAAATGGAGTTGGTATGAAGAAATTAGAGGTTAAATTACATGTTTTCCTGGCTGGTATACTTGGGCTAGAGTTAAGAAAAATAAAAAAAGTGATATAAACAGGGCAAAAAAAAGTCCTGGCAAAAAGTGATGAGGTGGGGTGAGGCATTTAGGGACTTAAAATCCTTTGATTCCACTCTCAAAAGAGCCATCTTCTCCTTTGCCCTCAAGTTCCTCTTGACCACAAGCATATTAAAGCAAATCCTTTTCCTGTTCTTTCTAAATTCCTCTTCCGTATGATGATTTTTTTTCTTTCATTTTTTCCCAAGGCACACACTTAGGACCATAGGAAGTGAAAAGAAAAGCAAACTATCTGAGAATCATTTCTTTGAAACTCTTGGTTTTTGTTTTTCTCTCCATATTGTACAGATTTGGTTTGGATTGGATAGTCCAGGCTTTGTGCCTACTGGCTTAATTAGATTGTCGTCAGCCAATTATTATCGTAGGATGAGATCATTAGGAGATCCTTTCCAGAACATCTGGCTCAGCTATGTTCTGCTGTGGAGAATTTGAAGCACAGAATCAAGTGAGTATTGTTAAAAGATGTTAATTAAACATCTGTAGCTGGGACGTTCTTTCAGGCTTGGATACATTCTTTTATCTGGTACACCCATTCTAATTAGCACCCATTCTAATTCTAATTGGGTGGAGTGGTTTTCTGGGGTCCTTCCAGATATCCGATTCTGCAATTACAGAAACGCCAGGACAGCAGCATGCCTGTGCCAACATTCCCTAAGTTCTGAACTGATCCTCAACAGCTGAGAGACAGAAAACGTCGCCCGACCCTCCGGTTTCTACATTCACCTCAGTCTCACCTCTGTGTTGGCTAGCACCCACTCTCCGCAAGGCAGGCGTCAATAAACTTGCGAATGAATCAACTTCCCTCAAAGGCTCTTCCCTGCCTCCCTTCACCCTACACACATCCTCTCCCATAGGGACTGCGCTAGCCCTCGCATCTGTGTCCACGGACTTTTCGGACCTGGCTGGCCCCCTCAGTGTCCATTCCCTGGGCAAGATCAGGGCTGTCTTTCCCTTTGCTGGGAGCTGCGAGAAGCCCGGCAGGCTACTCATTCCGACGAGATTTTTTTCTCGAGATAAGGCTCCTCGTGAGGGCACATGCGAGCACCGAAAATGGCCCTAGCTGGTCTGGGGACCACTGGGCGGATATGGGGTAGCGCTGACCACCCCAAGTGGGAAAGAGGGCCCGGCATTCCCGCCGGCAACAGTGGGCAGACCCGCACACCCAGTTCAGCCGCCTCAGCGCCCGCGGCTCCCAGTTAGGGACGTGTGGGCGGGGCCTGGAGGGGGGCGGGGCCGGCCCCGGTCAGGTGACGCGCGGTTGGCGGCCGCCGCGGCCGAGGGGCGTCAGAGGCTCGGAGGGGCCGGCAGGGTTGATCCCGCTCTTGGTGCTACAGGCTGCGGCCATGGGGGGCCTTAAAGAGGAGCTGCTCAAAGCCATCTGGCACGCGTTCACGGCGCTCGACCTGGACCGCAGCGGCAAGGTTTCCAAGTCACAGCTCAAGGTGAGCGCCCCCTGCCCGGCTCCCCAGCCCAAGCCTGTTCCTCCTCGGTGTGTTCCCCTGCGCCCGGGTGGAAGTCGGACCCGGCGGGCGGTGGCCGCGGGGAGGGGCGGGCCGGAATGTGGACGGACGGAGCGCGGAGCTGGGGATTTGGCGTTGTCTACCTCCCTCTCGCGGTCTAGTTGTGCCCTGGGCGGGTGTGTTATTCCTCCCGGTGGGTCTGTGAGGGGCGAGCCCGCTGGCCTGTTGCGCCGGGGGCCCGTACCCCAGAGGGCGGCGGGAAGCCCCCTTGGACTACCTCTCAGAGTTTCCCCTTTACCCTGGGAGAGGAAGGTACTTGCCCAAAAGTCACGGGGGGCTCGCCTTGGATAACGCACGCCCCACACCCCAGGCAGTACAGAGAGTACTGACCCCAGAGCTCGGCTTTCTTTGGGGGGTGTGTGGGGGGCTTTCTGACTTTTGAAGACCTCCCCACCCAGCGCCCTCAGATCTGAAACTGAGGGGCTGTGTTCTTTAGGGCCCTTGAGTTCCTGGTGAAGAGGACTGATCTTTCCGGCACCCTGCTTTTGCAGTCTTTATTGTGACTGCCAGAGATCCCACCACTAAGGGAGAGTATGAGGTATAAATAAAGGAATGCTTGTAAGTTGAGTAACCCCAAGCAGGAAAAGTGGCATTTAGCCAGGAGAAATAGGCAGCATCTTGAAAATATAAAATATGGAAGCAGACAAGAAGAACCATTCATAGGCACTTTAAAATATACACGCTTTGGTTCTGTGTGTTTTCCTTAGCCCCTTCTGGAACGAATTACCGAAGATTGGGTTTGCCCTGTGCATATTTTGTGCACTAATCAGGAGATTGTTTTGAGTAGTGGCTTTTTGCTCCCGCCTCTTCCTCATTCATACAGTTACAGTCTGGAAGTACACATGGAGATCATCCAATTACTCTTTATTTTTAGATTAACATGCAATAAATTTGACTTTTTTTGGCATACTGTTTTAGTAGCTTTAGCACATAAATAGATTTGTATAATTACAACCAAATTAGTGTTGCATCAGTTCCATCATTCAGAAAACTTCTTTATGCTGCTCCCTCTCTCTTAACTATTGGCAACTAAGGCTCTGTTCTTAATTGCTGTCGTTTTATCACTGTTATATTAATAACATGATACAGTGTAACTTTTTGACAATGACTTTTTTACTTAGCATAATGCCTTAGAAATTCATTTTGTTGTGCGTATCAGAATTTTTTTTTCAAATTTTGGCAAAATTTATTTAAAATTTTTTTAAACAGTTCGTATCAGAAATTCTTAAAGATTACTTATACACACAAGAACTGGGGTACAAGCCAGAGGTGTGAGGGGTGAGAGGGTTCATCAGAGACAGAGTGGGGAATAGAACAGGCAGATATGCTGAAATACACTGCTGAGGGGAGCAGCTGGAGTGCCAGGAGGGGTCTGCCACGTCAGGTGGGTCAGCTCCCTGGCCAGGGATTGAACTGGTGCCGCAGTGGCTGTGGACAGCCTCACAGTGCTGTGCTTTAACCTGTTGGGCCACCAGGGAGGGTCCTATATCAGAATTCTTTTTATTACTAAATAATGCCTCACTGTATAGATGTTCCATGGTTTATCCATTCAAACTTGTAGAACATTTGTGCTATTTCCAATTTTTGGTGATTATGAATAGAATGTTATTTTGCATTTCAATCCTTTTATTTTAAATTTATACCACTATAAAGTGGTCTGTTGTAGGTATTATGTATGGTAGTTGGATTTTTTTCTGAAACTTATTTATTTTCTTATATCTTGTTAATTTTGGGGCAGTATTTGATTTCTTCTATCAGATGTAGTTCCCCCTGGGTTTTGTTTTTTCAAAATGATAGTATCTGTCTTTTAATTGCTGTGTTTTGACCATTTATACATAATGTAATTACTGATGTTTAGATTTAGGACTAATGTCTTATTATTTGCTTTCTTTTTATTTGTTTTTTGTTCCTCTTTTTCCTTTTCCTCTTTTAAATTATTTAAATAATTAAATAAAAGGTGACTTATATGATCTGAAGAGAAACTAGAATATAGTATTCCATTTTAATGTTCAGGGTTTTTTGGGTATTTCTTTTTTATTGTATATATACCTACATATATATTACATCGGTCTTATTTTGTACATTTTTTTCATCTCAGTTGTAATCCCCATGGACTTCCCACCACCAGTTCACCCCTGTGCCATCACCATAGTCCCGTATGCTCTTCTCACTCCAGTTTGATCTTGTTTTACTCTTTCCCCCTATATAATGTCTCTGGTTTATAGTTGGTTGATTTTAGTTTTTACTTTATTACAATTACACTTTTTTTTAATGATCTGTTACACTCCTCTGAGTGAAACCATCTGGTATTTTCTTTCTGGTTTATTTCACTAAGCATGATCCCTTCCAGCTCCACCCATGTTGTTGCAAATGGCATGAGTTTATCTCTTTTGATTGCTGGGTAATAGTCCACTGTGTATATGTATGACATCTTCTTATCTAGTCATCTAGTTTTGGGCATTTTGGTTGATTTCAAATCTTCCCTATTGTAAATAAAGCAGCAATAAACATATGGTGCAGGTGTCCTTTTGAATTAATGTTTTTGTTGGGTAGATACCTAGGAGTGGAATTGCTGGATCATATGGAAGCTCCATTTTTAGCAGTTTGAGAAACCTCCAGACAGCTTTCCAGAGTGGTTGTACTAGTTTGCATTCGCACCAGCAGTGCAGGACAGTTCCTTTTTCTCCACATCCTCCCCAGCATTTGTTGTTGTCAGTTGTTTTAATATATGCCATTCTCATTAGTGTAAGTGGGTATCTCATTGTGGTTTTGATTTGCATTTCCCTTATAACAAGTGATGCTTTCATATGCCTGTTGGCCATCCACATTTCCTCTTTGGAAAAGTATCTTTTTAGCTCTTCTTTTTGCTATATTTCTTTACAAAGTTTTTTTTTTTAATGGCTGCTTTAGGGATTATAATATGCATACCTGACTTTTCAATCTGCTTAATGTTAATGTGTTCACTGTATCAGTATGTAAGTTCTTTTAGCCTCCCTGATTTATGTACTAGTTTATATTTGTCAACATTATTCATTGAAAACCCCATCAGAAAGTGTTAATTTGCATTCAACTATCACTTTTATTTTAAAGATTTTAAGAGTAGTCCCCCTCCTCATATTTGTATATTACCCTTAATTTTGCAGACATAGTAGATGATGCTTCTAAAATGCTTGGGAACTTGTCTAAAGTTATAGCTGTAAGGAATAGCTAAATCTAGAACCAGGATTTTCAAACTTTTGAGCCAGTGGTTTTTTGATTGTTTGTTTTTAAAGATTTATTTATTCATTCAATAAGTGGGATGCAGGTCAGAGGTGCAGGGGGTGAGAGCAGTCACCAGAGCAGAGTGGGAATAGAACAGGCAGATTGACTGAAATACATTGCTGAGGGGAACAGCAGGTGAGACAGGAGAGGTCTGCTGTGCCAGATGGGTTAGCTCCCTGGCCAGGGATCCAGCTCATGCTGCAGTGCCTTCCAGTAGCTTCATAGTGCTGAGACTTAACCCCTTGTGCCAACGAGGCTCCCCCCCACTTTTTTCCTTCCAAGTGATGCACGTATGAAATACTTTCTATTACTTACACTCTATACCTTACACTGCATTCAAAGTTTTCTTTGTAGCTATTTATAAAAAAAAAAATGTCCAGAGGATTCTTGATTACATGCATTGGCAGGCAGTAGTTCACAGCTTTCAGCCATAAGATGTTGATAATGCAACCATGAAAATAAATGTATTTTGTCTTTCCCTGCTATACTCAGAGACTTTGAGATTGATACAGTTCTGTTCATCTTGCCAGTATTTTTGGAATTGAAATTTAAAAAATTTTCTCAAGATTTAAGCTTTTAATTCATTAACACTTTTGAATGAAACACAGCTTTTTTATGTCTCATTAAGGTTTCCAGATAGAGGGAATGGATTGTTTATATACATATCTCAAAGGTTCAAAATTATTTAAAGGCTCATGCATACACATGCATCTCTAACATTTTTTAAAAGATTTATATATTTTTGCATACAGAATGGCGTACATGCCAGAGGTGCACGGGTGGTGCAGGGATTCACCAGAAACAGTGAGTGGGGAGCAGAACAGGCAGATCAACAAAGTACATTGCTGAGAGGAACATTGGGCAGGTGAGAGAGGTCTGCCATGCCATGTGGGTCACCTCCCTGGCCAGGGATCGAACTTGTGGTGAAGTGACTGTGGCTAGCTTCACAGTGCTGTGCTTTAACCTGTTGTGCCACCAGGGAGGGGTATCTCTAACATTTTTATGGGAATTAAAAATTGGGCTTTTTGGCCTTTCCCTTTTACAAAGTTAAGCGCATTTACCCTAGAGCACAAAGAGTTTTTTCTTGTAGATCCCTTTTCTTTATATTTTGTCCTGTCCAGTGGGAAAAGAAGCTCAGAGGATTCTGAAAACAGAGGAATTGAAAATATTTCTATTTACATCTCTTCTTTTTGGTGTTTTTGATTCTTACGTCCTATGCTCACTGTTCTATTAGCTAGGCGTAGAGTTTTTTCCCTAATTTGTTCATTCATTCATTTGTTTACACAGTAACTATATGTGTGTTACTCTGTTAGGGTACTATGCTGGCTTCATAAAAAGATAACTTTAAAAAATAATAATATAATAGTTTTTTTTTTTACATCATTTTGTGTCATTTTTCATATTAGTTGTAATCCCCGTGGGCTTTCCATCACCAAATCACCCATGTACCATCACAATAGTCCAGTGCACTTCCCCCCTCCCTCCCCTCCCCCATTTTTGATCCCATTCCCCACTTCACTCCCCGTAAAATGTCTCTGGTATATAGTTGTTCATTATTATTTCCCCCCCTCCCCTCCTTCCCTTCCTCCCCTCCTTTATACTCCTGCTATGAGTGAAACCATCCAGTATTTTTCTTTTTACTTTCTGGTTTATTTCACTAT